AAAATGAAGGTTAAAGTTCCATAGAATTCCTTTTGAAGTTTATGAAGTATAAAAAATTTTTCACGGCCGGGCGCGGTGGCTCAAGCCTGTAATCCCAGCACTTTGGAAGGCCGAGGCGGGTGGATTACGAGGTCAAGAGATCGAGACCATCCTGGTCAACATGGTGAAACCCCGTTTCTACTAAAAATACAAAAAATTAGCTGGGTATGGTGGCTCGTGCCCGTAATCCCAGCTACTCAGGATGCTGAGGCAGGAGAATTGCCTGAACCCAGGAGGCGGAGGGTGCAGTGAGCCAAGATCGCGCCATTGCACTCCAGCCTGGGTAACAAGAGCGAAACTCCGTCTCAAAAAAAAAAAAAATTCACTTTTTAAAAACCAGCGGAAAGGAGAAAAAGTAAGGTTTCTGTTTTTATATCATGCAGAGCTTTTCCTTTATGCCTTCAAGACACATTTTTAAGCATCTATGATTTGTCCATCTTGATTTTGGTTTGTGTATTCTGATGGGTGGGCTGGTCAAGAGAAATAAGAGTTATATTTAACCAGGCAGAGATTACCAGATTTGGTAACACATGTGGGAAATGGACATTTTAAGCAGTGTAATGTCTAGTCATACCTGTTTTCATTTTTTTCCCCTATATAATGCTTCTTTGGTAAAAAACAAAACAATAGATTCTGGAGTTGTAGGAAGGGTGAAAGAATTAGACTTTTTCTTTTAAGAGCATTTGACAAAGAGAGGAATTGGGATTGAGTTTTGGGAAATGCTTAAAATAGTTAGAGATTATAAGGGCAGAGATTCAGGTCGTAGATAATAGGGAGTGCACTGAACCTATGAGCCTTCTGAAGTTTTTTTACCACTATCACTAAGCATTAAAACATGGCCTGATGCCCAGAAGAAGCAGGTAAGAGGGTCAATAGATACAATCATCCCTAAGGCATAATCCTTACTCTCAAGGAAGAAGACAATTGGGCCTTCACAACGCAGTGTGGCAAATACTCTAGGTGGAGGTAGGACAGAGCCTCTTAGAGAAGTAGAGTATTTGTGTGTTAAAACCCTTGAAATCTCCCAGGAGGATTTGGTAGAACAGTGTTCTAAAATCAGTGGAAGTAACTATTTGGTAAAATCTTGCATTACATAAAGCACTCTAGATGCTGTATGTTTTGTGAATGAAGTGATTTATGCCTGAAGTAGTTAATGGGTTTCAGCTGCATTGAAAGTATTCTGCTTATACAATGCAGAATAATCTTGTGATACATGAGAATGAATTTTCATTGCATTTATTTATTGTTGAATTGTAGCATTTTCCTTGTGTAACTTCTCTAGAACAGCTAGAATAGCATTTATTTAAAATCAGCTATTTCAAATAAAAAGAGAAGGTCATTAGACAGTGTTGACAGGATCCAGATGAAGTATTCTCTTCACATTTTCTTTGAAAAAATGGTGCTTAGACTTTAATTGGTTATGTTTTCTTGTCATCTTATAGTGTATGCTTGTTCATTAGACAATTTTGATAGGAACTAAAATAACCTATATCTTATAGGAAAATACTTGTACCAATAGTTATATAGTCTTTGTTAATAAGTCTTAAAGCCTTACATGTGGTTTTTTGTCAAATGTTCCTCATGGTTCCCATAAACAGAACTGGAACCTGGCAACCTCTCATGTTTTACCTAGATACAATTCTCATTTGACTGGTATAGACAAAGGCATATATTTCAAAAAAGATCAACACCACTTAAAGAAGATACCAGTGTAATAAATATATTTGTATGACCAAAGGTAGCTAAGTCTCAGAAGAGAGCCCATCCTCAGAAGCTGTGTTCAAAACCAAGAAACGTCCATGCAGTAAAATGAAACAAAAAGTCCCTCAGGATTGACTTCACCATTTGTTGGATTTATTGCTGTAATTAGGACATCAAAAAATATATAATTTTAAGAGAAAATCTTGGAAGCATAATAAGTGGTGAGGTAAATAATGTCACCCCTCTCCGCAAGAGAAGAGGCTTCCATTTCTACCGTATCAAATTTTGTCCTCTGTCTTAATTATTCTGCTAGAGTAGAAATAATTTTCCACATGATTTCATTTTTAGATAGAAAAATGTCAGCATAATTGTCATTAGACTTCATTGCTATGGCAGATACTATTCTTTTGGGCTGTTTAGTTAGAAAATTAAACATGTTCATTTTATTAGAAATATATGTTTACTGATAATAGGTCAGGAGCCAAGATTTAGTGAAACACATGCAGGGGTTATTAATTTAGCAATTTTATTGGCCCTCAGAATTTTTCAAAAATGGGATTGAAGCCTTTATTTAACTTGCAAGATATAATTGGTGCTTACATAACTGGGTATACACAGAAAAATAAAATAGAAAATATGAGATACCCATAAAACAGGAAAAGTCTTCAATTGAACACATTGTGATTCAATGTTTAAGATTAAATTGCCTCATTTACATTGTTATATACATATAAAATATTTGGTGGGTAATTATTTGCTTTCCACTTTTATTCTAAATAACAGCATACTATGTAAATAACTTTGTAAACACTAAACTATGTAAATAACTTTCTTTCGACTGAGCTGGGAGACAGTTTTTTGCGGAAATTTTAAATTTTCCTACAACTTGTTGGGTAATGTTTAAAAAGACTTTGCTCTGTGTCAGTATCTTATTGGTTGTATTACTCAAATGCCTTGCAAGACAGTTTGATTTTGAGTGACTTGGGTGACAGTGGAGCCATAAATGTACCCTGTAGTGAATCATGGTAACTACATTTTTAGACATTATTCATAGTAAGACCCATGTGAGTTTTTGGTACATTAAGAGTTGCCTAACTTGGTGAATTAAGCAAGTGAAAATGCAGTTATTTTACTATAGTCATCAGAATCAGAGCCATAATGTATATTCTATTGGTAGGTCATCACAGGCCCCATGACTTTTGCATTAAATAGAAGTAATTTCCATAATATGACTCCCAAATAATTCTGCTCCAACTGATATTTCTGTCATTAAGGATTTTTCTGAAAGGAATTCTGATCATATTATTTTGCTTCCTAACAACAATATTATCAACCTACAGTACTTATGATATTCAATAAAGAAACAAGGCAAGAAAGCCCACTCTTACCACTTATATTTGACATTATACTAAAAGTCATTACCCGTAGAAGAAAGAAATAAAAGATGTAGGGATGGGAAATGAAGAGTTCAAACTGTTATTTTTCCTAAGTATGCTATCGTCTCCTTAGAAAATTCAAGAGGAATCTGCAGAACTATTAAGACAATTATGCAAGCTTAGTAGTATAATAGCTAATATATACATGATGAAACATGACTGGATATCAAGAAATAGAAAACATACTTTTAAAGAATTTGCCATTTAAAATAGCAGTAAAAAATTCAGGATTGGTTACCTCTGGAATGGATGGGAATGAATGTTACTGGGGAGGCGTGTACAAGGACACCAACTTACACTATTTATATCTTAAGCAGAGTGGAGAGCATGCAGATGTTCATTATATTATGCTTTATACCTTTTAAGTCTTAAGTATGAAAGAAAGTTTCCTTTTTTTTTTTTTTTTGAGACGGAGTCTCGCTCTTTCATTCAGGCTGGAGTACAGTGGCGCAATCTCAGCTCACTGCAACCTCCGCCTCCTAGGTTCAAGCAGTTCTCCTGCCTCAGTCTCCCAAGCAGCTGGGATTGCAGGCGCACACCACCACACCAGGCTAATTTTTGCATTTTTAGTAGAGATGGAGTTTCGCCATGTTGGCCAGGCTGGTCTTGAACTCCTGGCCTCAATCCATCCACCTTGGACTTTCAAAGTTCTTGGATTATAAGCATGAGCCACCACACCCACTATAATAGAATATTTCTAATAACTGCATAAGTTAAAATTTTAAAAGTTCACATCAGTGACTCCACATTACTTATAAATATGAGATTGTTCCCTAATACATGTGGGGCCTATGGCATGGAGGTCTACATACTACATGTCTAAATAGTTAACATTTAGCTATAAATTAAATTAGCAAACTGTTAAATGAAATATTTTACTTTTCCTAACTTGATAAATATACCTCCATATGGCTAAAACCAGCAAACATAGATGACTGAATTTAATTATTATTACATGTCGGAGTATTCTGTTAAAAGGTCTATGATGTTGTTTGGAAGAGTAATAAAATTTAAACACACATAAGCCTTAAATTATATATATATTATAAAGGAAAATTCCAAGCTGTTATTTTTCAGTTTTTTAAGTGTATTTTAAATTCAAATGTTTAATTATATATTTTTTTCTGGCCTCCATTTCAGCAAAATCACTATGTTGTTACAATCAAGGTTTTCACATGATTGTATTCTATTGATGACAATTATATAAAGGATTAAAAGAATATTTAATTATATTTAGTATAGATAATTTAAATATATGTTAATGGAAATATAGATAAAAATAAATGTAAAAAATTTAAAAGTAAACTTTTTCACGTCTTTCCAGAAGAATTTTGTAAAATGTCAAAATGTATCTTTTAAAACAAAAAGCCAGTATATAAATAACTACTAATTGACATAAAATTACATCAAAATTATTTAAATAGAACTGAGTTTTTAAGTTTTTAAAGAATTAGTTACATCTTATTACATATTTTTATGAAAGGAAATCTACTTACAGGTTTGAGGGTTCAATTTCCACATGGTTGTCAATGCAAAGGGTATCATGCTCCTTGCTTGTCGTACCCTCAACTACATACATACAAATTAAAGAGCAATATGAATTGTTTAGTAGTCACAAAATATTTCCTTTGTTGCCATGAACAACTGTGGTGAATACTGTGTTTTCCTGAGTACCTCTAGAATTCTAGAATCGCAAGTTGAAACATGAAGAGCAGAAAGAACAGAGCACTCAGTGCTACTGGCAAATGATACTGAGTATACAAGAATGTGTGGATTCCACGCCGAAAAGGCTTGTCACATCATTTAATTTTCTTCTTCTCTTAGCTAAGTGCTTAGATGGCTGAAATCCTGCCTGTGATCAACTGGTGAAGTTTCATGGGATTTGGAGTCAGTCCGTCTTTCTTTTTTAGAACGTAAAAGATATGGAAAACATGTGTCTGGGTCCTTAATAGTGTTCGTTTGTTATGAATAAATATTCAGTGAATAATCAGGGTTAGAATGTCACACTTTGATAGTGCTGAGTGCCATATCTTGAATGACATAGGGGCCCATGTGTTCTTCAATAAATTTAATTTTTTTAAAACTTGTGATGTGCAGGTTTTCCAAAAACACAGGCACCAAAAAAGCAATACCTCTTGTCCAGGCCTCAGGGCAGTCTGGCTCAAAGAGCTAGTATAAACTCATTCAAACCCTTTGATTCTGTCTCCCACCAAATTTTCCAGATCAATTTTTACCTGCTTATGCCTTGATCATTCTCAAATTTACCAATTAGTTTTGCATTTTTGTATCTAGACACGGGCTGCCATTTCCTCTCCCTTTCATTATCTTGTGCCTGCCCACCTGAATCTGGACAATGACTACTTCCAGACCTACTCTAACATGAAGTCTTACTTCTGACTAAGCTAGTTACTCCACACAGCATTTGCAGTATAATTGCACAGTTATTCTGTGTGTAAAGACTGTGAACTTTGCCAGGGCAGCTATGGGAGCTAACTCATCCTTGTATCCCTGTAGCCCAGAACTGGGAACAGAGTTTAACAGCTGTTTCATGACACAGTTAATGGCCAATTTCTGCACAGTAAAGGTTCATCTAGAACAGGGTTCAGTGAAATATGGCCCTTGAACCAAATCTGGCCCATTCCTATTTCTGTATAAAAGAAGTGATGTTGAAACACAGCCACACTCTGGCTTTCATATTGACTGGCTGCTTTCCCGCTATAACGGCTGAGTTCAGTACTTGCAACAGAGACTTATATCCCACATATCCTAAAATTTTTATAATCTGCTCTTTATAGAAAAAGCTTGCCAACCCCTGATCCTCGTGAATTAATAATAGATAACTTTAGAAAGACTGGTTAAGGAATAATTATGTTTTACCATTAATAGGAAAGTCAGAATTTTGAACATTATCAAGAATGGACTAAAAAGCCATTTACATTTTGGAACAAGAGAGTAGTAAGTTATGAGAGGTGTCCTGGAAAGACTGGTTAGGAAAATTGTGAATGAAAGATTAGATTGCAAATAGGATATAGGTAGAAACTGCAGTCATTTGATGTGACTGTTAGTTCAAATGGGAGATGATTAGGCATTAGGCCAAGGGGTTAGTAATAAAAATATGAAGTAGATTGACTTATAAGAGTCCTTAGGAACCAAGAATTGATTGATGTCTGTTAGATTCTGGTCCTTCATATTAACTCACCACATCTGTTAGAGAAATTCACCAGCTGGAATCCTAAACTAACTTCATTCTAATCTCTGATGGGTCAAACCTTAAAATTAAGCATAAGCAGCAGTCTTGGCTATGTGATGAGAGTTGTGCTGCCCGGTAAGGATTAGATGTGTGTCCCTGACCTTGGGAGTGGCAGTCAGGTCTTGTTCACAACCCCTTAAACTTATAGGCAAATATTATTCCATCCAAAATATCAAAGTTCTATTCTGTTACACTTAGCATCCATGTCAGCTCACCCCCCAACTCATTTCAGGCTTCATTACTCTTTTTGGTAAAGTTCTCGCACGTTTCAAAGGCATAGACAATTCCCAGAACGTAGAGGCTAAAAGAAGGAAACATAGCAGGATGAATATTTTGGTAAACCAGCTGAAAGAAAAGCATGTTTTAAAAATTTATTTTCCATTATTATTTAAAACACACACAAATATGTATTTTTTCAAAATTAAAATGTTTTCAGTACATCAATGCATTGTGGGAAGTTACAAACAATATTTTTTAATTAAAAAATGTTTTCATAAAGAAATGTATCAATTTTGCTGAAGAAATGATACAGAATGTTCACACCTCTTTCGAGTTACATTAATCTCCCCTTTAAATAAAGTTACTGTATTAAAACATGTATATTGGCATTGTGAACTGAAATTAGGATGTGATCCATGGAAAGAAAGAAAGGGGAAACGGTAAGCCTTCATCAAGTTGTGGAATACTGAACTTTTCTGATTACTAAGCCTGATTTTCATAAAGACAATAGTCGTTAACCAGAACCTACTTAGGCTAACAACTGCATTAGGCTGCAGTTTTGCTTAGATCTCCAGTGGTTTTATTTACAGTTGAAGAGCCTCCACCAAACCATTTTCAAAGCTGCTCAAATCTCCCTTGTGAAATGCAGCTGCCTGTTCCCCACTGAGGCTTTAAACTCCGTCTGCCTACTATTTATTGGGAAGCTGCAGGCAAATGAAACATTCGTCTCAAATTAGCCATGATTATATTTGGGTTGTTCATATAAATTAAGTTTCACTTCACAAAAACCTAATGAGATTATAAATTATGTCATTTCTACAAGTCACTATGGAATTATGTAGACACTAGTCAAGGAGAAATTCTAATCTTCACAAAATATTTGGTACGGAGTCTTTTAAAACAAACTGTATTGCATTCTTCTTCTGTCATTAAAAAAATAAAAACACAGACACAAACACAAAGCATAGTCTTTCAAACCAAGAAAACATATGTGCTAAATAGGGAATGATAATAACCACTAAATGAATGGATTCTTTAAATCTACTGGCATGGTTTCACTAGGCGATTGTTCTTAGATTTAGTGTGTTATCCTGCACTGATTGAAAAGTAATAGTACAAAAATGAGTCAGGCTGTTTTAAAGGTCATTCATCAAAGTGCATGGTACTTAAATAGCTTTTTTGCCCAGCTGGGCATTACTGGTTAAACCGTTACATTTTTTCAAGTAGTATTTGCGGCTAATTGAATGTTTGTCCCCTCCAAAATTCATGTTAAAATTCAATTGCTGTTTTAACAGTATTATCAGGTGGAATGTTTAAGAGGTGATTAGTCCATGAGGGTTCCACCCTCATGGCTGGGATTAATGCCTTCTAAAAGGGGGACTTCAGTCCCCTTTTTCCTCTTTGCCCTTCTGCCGCCTGCTATGTGTGGAAAAAGTATTCTTCCCCTCCAAAGGATGCAGTATTGAAGGTGTCATCTTGATATCAGAATCACCAAACCTGCTGGTTCCTGAACATTGGACTTCCCAGTCTCCAAAACTGTGAGTCAATACATTTTTTAAAATTATAAATTACTCAATCTGTGGCATTCTGTTATAGAAGCACAAGCAGACTGAGACAGTATTATACCATTGAGTCATAATAGTATATCGTATAAAGAACTTAAGTATATTTTAAAGAGTAAGTTCTCATTTTATTATAGTCACATAATATTTCCTTGTATTTTAATTTAAAAAAACCAACCACCTTCCCTTAAGTAGAAGTATATTTCTTTTAAGATGGAAGAACATTATTTAAACTACTGTTTTGTTGCAGGAAAATCTTCCTACAATTATACGTTGGGTATAATAATATTATATTAATGTGAAATTTTATTATATGCTTCTCCATCTTATTACCCCTAACTGTCTCACTGCTCAATCTTTTGAAGTTTGCTATTCACAGTACCCTTTTTTTGTCACATCAAAGTAAATTTGGTATTTGATCATAAGAAGGATTATGACGAGGATGCCCCTTTATAGAAAGGATTTAAGTAGGATATGCCTGTGTACATAGAGACTACCCAAAATTGATATATCCCCATTCTATAGGCTAGGAAAACTGCTCTCTTAATAAAGCTATTTACAGAATTCTCTGTTTTTAATTCCTGAAAGTCTTCAAAATGCCTATGAGACTATTAGTATGATCCTTTGGCTAGTATATCTGCATTAACGTGCTTTTCTATTACTCCATTCTTGTTTAAAAGCAAGCCAGCCAAAAACATCACAAATCATGCAAAACAAAATCATTCCTAGATGCACAAAAAAATACCCTATATATTCTTTCCACTTGGTTGAAAGTAAACTAGGCTTAGAGTAAAATACATTGTCTTCAAAACTCATTATACATTCTGTGTTCTCAGCCCTGATTTTTTTAACCCCCTAAGTAATATCCCCTTCTTAAGAGGGAAGATCTCTCCTGCTCTCAAAATTATTTTCTTCTTCTACTTTCCCCCAGGAAGAGAAGTAGAAGAAAGGAAGAAATCTAGTAACTTTCACAGAAAAAGAGAGACAGAAACATGAACATTGTCTCTTGCAAATACTGCTTTCTTTTAACTTTTTTTTTTTTTTTTTTTTTTTTTGACAGAGTCTTGCTCTGTCACCCAGGCTTGAGTGCAGGGTCACAGTCTTGGGCTCACTGCAGCCTCTGCCTCTGGTTCAAAGGATTCTCCTGTCTCAGACTCCCAAGCAGCTTGAACTACAGGTATGCACCACCATGCCAGGCTAAGTTTGTTGTATTTTTAGAACAGACAGGGTTTCACTATGCTGGCCAGGCTGGCCTTGAACTCCTGGTCTCCCTCAAGTGATCCGCCTGCTTTGGCCTCCCAAGATGCTGGGACTTTCTTTTAACTTTTAATAAATGTAGCAGGAATGTCTTTCATCAACATCACCATAAAAAGAAAATAATAATAAAATGGAAGAAATCATCTAACAAACAGAGAAATAATTTTTGTGGTGGTAGCTCCCCACAAATGTCACAAGTCACTGCACTTGTATCTAAAGACAACACTGAATGGTGCTTTGAAGGTGGTTTCAATCATGAGACTAAAGAGGTAGCATTTGCCTACCAAATACCTGTCACTTCTACTCCAAGGCCTTCTGAGGCTATGGGGAAGCCTAATCCCATGGCCATGAGCAGGAGCAGTTGTCCAGTGTTGCAAATTTCTCTTTGAGACATGGGACAGGGAATGTTCTGACCTCTAGTTCTCAATCCAGAGGGTCAGCTTGGGTCCAGTTCCAGTCCTGCACCAATTAGCTATGACAGTGGAGACAGGATCTAGTTGAGAAAGGACTGTGATTGGCCTAGCTTGAGTTGAGTGTCCATCCTGGAAGAATCAATCGTTGTCAAGGGCTGGAATATTCTGGTTGTCATGGTTTGGACCAGGTATCCACCTCTAGACCAGACAATTCTGAGTAGGGGCAGGATTATATAAAAATTATGGAAGCTCCATGGAAACCTTATCTTGATGATGCCAGTACAGAGAAAGGACTTGTTGTTCCCAGATAATACAGAGTACTAGGCAGACAAAAGAACATACAACAATGTAATATAATAAAAGGTAAAAAGTATAAAAGCCAGAGACAGAGGCGCAACATCAGGAAGTTCTTAGACATGATATCTAGCAAGAAAGAATTCAAAGGCATTAATCAGTTTAACCTTGAAGAAAAGATAGGATTTGGATTTATGGACAAGTGGAAAAGTAACTTTCTAGAAGCAGAAAACAAGATAGCGGAAGCTTGGAGGTGGAAGTGTTTGGAGTACCTACCGGGTCCTTGAGCAATTTTGTTTGGCTAGATGTGCAACTACAAGAAGAGCCAGGTCTGAAGGCGTTACCAAGGACCTTCAACATCACACAAAGAAGTCTGAATATTATCTTGCAGGCTGTGAATCACCATAGAAGGCTTTTGAGCATGTTAGAGAAACGGTTAAAACCATAAGTTAAAAACAATAATCTGGCAGTGTTGTGTAAAATGAGTTGGAGAATAAGAAACAAAAGGTGAAAAACCTCCAAACTCGCAAAGGTCTTGCAGTATAGCTACAGTAAGCAAATTAGGACAGCAGTTCCCAGACCTGACTGTGTTTAGGAAACACTTGGGTCACTTGTTAAAAATGCAGATGCTTGTGCTAACTCCACAAAGGTTTGGGGCTTGGGGAATCTGCATTTTTTTAAAGCAACAATAACGAGGTGAACTGTGTCCTGAGTACCATACTTTGAGAAATGCTGATCTTGAGAAGTAATAGGAGAACCAATTTAAGAATAATATAGTGTGAAAGAGTCCTTATTCACCCTTGCTGAGCTTTCAAAGGTCTGAAGTTAGCCCTGGCCTTGGTATAATGGGCTTAAAGTCAGAGCCAAGCAGAAGGTTGAGATATGAAGCCTCACTCTCTCCAAAGTTTATGTGGGCTCTGTTTCATGTGGTGGTACCTCTCTGTGGGTAAGTCAACTAGAAACCTTATAGCATGACTCACCCAAAGAATAGCACTGAGTTCTAGTGGGGAACAGTGCCAGTGAAGAATAATATATTCTGTTTTAAGACTAAGTGTGGTTAGTTTATGTGGGTTCAAGATTCTGTTCTCTACTTGCAATCTATGCAAATTCAAATTTTGGGCAATTAAAACAATAAAGGGTAACGTCCTATTTAAAAAATGGGAGATTAATATTAATCATCAGATTTTTGGAGGCTTTGCTATGACAGAGGGAGAAGTGATAAGTGGTCCTAGAAGCAGTATATATGAGCACTGTATTTGTAGACCTTGCTTGGCTATTCTTTGTTAAATAATTAAATATAAGTCTTTTAAAAAATCTATGCCTCCTAAATCAAGAGCAATAAATAAGTTGTTCTGTGCTGCTAAATTCTGAGATCTTTGTTTAGATAAATTTAGTCTGTGTGCCAGATAGTATTTCATACTTAAAAAAAATCTATTGTATATCATACTTTTGCAACATATAAGTCTCACTGTAGTTTATCTTAGATTAAGAATTATTAAAGGTATGAATCTGGTAGAATTTGCTTTGCATATCCTCTTCTTTTCTCTTTTCACCTTTTACCTTCCATAATATTCTTTTGCAGGTCAGCTAAACAACTGGGCTTTGAAAGATTACTCATCCATTTGGTTCAGGATTTGTCAGCATTATGTTCATGTTGCTGAAACCCGTGATCGCTTCCAAATATCCATCTTAGCCTTTCAGCAGTATTTGATGTGGTTGGCCACTTCCTTTTTAAAACATTTTGATAATCTTCTTCTTCTAGCATCCGTGAACCTTTAAAACCAGTCACTTTTTCTAGGCCTCTTTTGCATTTTCATCCTTCTCTGCCAGATTTCTAGATTTTGTCGTGCCCCTGAACTTGATCCTGAATGTTCATCCGAACTTAAACGCTCCCTAAGAAAATTGACCCCTTGTTTTTAAATGCTATGTTTATGCATTGTTACTCAGATTCATATCTTGAGATGGTATTACAATTAGATGTTCAAGAAACGTCTTAAATTTAACATGTCTAAAAGGAAACTCTCCATTCCCTTCCTTCCTACTTCCATCTTTTTTACTCAGATTTCTTCCATTTCAGTAGATGGCACCATCCACCCAGTTACTCAAGAAACAAAGTTAGGAGGCATCCTTGGGGTCTCACTTTTTATTGCCCCCAGCTGCCTAGTAAGACCTGTGGCTCTTCCACCAACATCCCAGACTTGTAATTTCTTCCATCTCTACTGCTGCCTCACTGATTCAGGTCATCATCTGTGTCATTACAAAAGCCTCCTAACTGGGCTGCATGCTTCCCCTCTTCATCTTCTAAACCTCAACGTCTCTGTGGTAGCTGCAGTTATCTTATCTAGCCTACATGAAACACTTCAGTGGTTTCCTGTTGCTGTAAGAATTAAAAGTGTCAAGTTTTCTCTGGTTCACTTGCCACGGCCTTCAGGGCCCTCACATTATATGGCCTCTACATCTCTCCCCCTTCTATGCTTGCACCTCTCTGATCTCTCAGTTCTTTGAACTGGAGAAAGGTCATTTGTCCTAGCTAGATCCCCTTCCTTTAATTCATTCCTTTAATTCACTTCCTTTAGGTCTTTTTGTAGTTGGCTCTTTATTTTCCCCACTTCAGGGAAGATTTTTTCTGTGCATCTAACAAAATAGAAGACACACACACACACACACACACACACACACACACACCCCTGCTTCTAGCTACTATGACTCTTATTTTATTTCTTTATTCATGCTTATATTTTTATCCAATAGAAATTAAGCTTCATGAGGTCAGGGACCTTGTCCTTTAGATTCATTGCTGTAGCACAGTGCCTGGCTCATAATAGGCACTGAATATGTCTTGTTAAATAAATAAAATTTCTGTTCTGTGAGTGAGTTTAGCACTCATGATGCCTTCTGGTTCAGAAATAAGTCAGTGGAAAGCATACAAGAAGGACATCTGGCTGGGTTCGGTGGCTCACGCCTATAATCACAGCACTTTGAAAGGCCAATGCGGATGGATCATGAGGTCCAGAGTTTGAGACCAGCCTTATCAACATGGTGAAACTCCATCTCTACTAAAAAAAATTTGAAAATTAGCTGGGCATGGTGGCACACGCCTGTAATCCCAGCTACACAGGAGGCTGAGGCAGGAGAATTGCCTGAACCTGGGAAACGGAGGTTGCAGTGAGTCGAGGTCATGCTACTCCCCTCCAACCTGGATGATAGAGTGAGACTCCATCTCAAAAAAAAAAAAAAAAAAAACAGGACATTTGACATCTTTGGGAAAAAAAGACTAAAATGAACTTAAAGTGGTTAGTGGAGACTGGAAGAAGGCTTCTGACATGATGTACTTTTCAGAAGGAGGATGAGATGGATAACACCTTAAAAATCGACGGTGATTCAAGCAAGCAAAGCAAACAGAACAGGAAGAAACAGGACCAAAGAAAAAGTTTCTTTTAGGTAGAGCACAGGGCTTTTGTGATAGGTCAGCTGACCAGGCTGGCTGAAACTAAGAAGAGGGGCAGAGTGGAAATGAGGGTGGTAGAAATATTTGGGGACACCAAAAGAAATGATTTGCTTCTCTAGAGGGAAATAGCAAAACTACAAATTATTTTTCAAGATATTGAAGGGATATTAAGAAGGCAAAGTCCAATTTAGAATGAAATGGCCTCAAATCTAGTAGTAAAACTACCTCTATGGGAAGAGAGAAATCTTAGGAGAGTAGAAAGAAGGATGGAGCCAAACCTTCTCATCCCTTTCTGAGTCTGTAAATACAAACTTTGTTATCCATGACTAAAATGTTATAGCACTGTTTACCAAATATTCATGTGTATTAGAAGCACCTTAGGAACTTATTAAAAATAGAGATTTTCTGGTTTAAATCCTTTGGATTCTGATTTAGTACAACTTGCATGGGTTTGAACTGTTCTTTAGTAAGTATTCCCCAAATGAAACTAATACAGTTCTAATGCAAGGTCAGGCCATGCCTCAAGAAACACTGGCTTGTAGGGGGCTATAGTTTTGTCTGTGTTCACATACTGTTTAAGCACAATTTAGTAATGTTGTGAGTGCTTGAAGAAGTGGTTTGTATGTGTATTTAAGTGCACGTATGTGTGTGATTGTTGAGTAGGTATATATAGTGGAACTAACTAAAAAGACATTTCATTCTAAAGATTAGATGTTCTCAATTTTATTGACTTTATTTACAAGTATTGCACTTATGTATAATCTGTTCTTTTATTGGTTGAGTTTTTAAAATGTAATTGGTTTCAGATGATTTTCAAATAATCCAAATTTACAGAATCAGATTTTTAATTAGAAATTAAAAATGGGAGATGAGAGAAATGAAAGAGTGTGTTAATTAAATATGTACTTTCTTTTATTAGAAAGTTTCAATCACCCCACCTGAAATTGATTCTACCCAGATGATTTTCCCGAACTCTGGGAACAGAAATTCCTGTTTTTGTTGTGTATGACCAAGTAAAAACTGAAGAAACTATGTATATTGTCAAAATGACCACCCTGGTAAAGGTGATAGCATTCCCTAGAGATAAGTATTCTTATGTTAGAAAAACTTACAGCTTCCTTTTCCAATGGAATATTAAAATAATTGGAGTCTTCCTCTCTTTTTGTTGTTTTTTTTTTTCATTTTTTTCCCCAGAATTTGGTTCCTTTTTCAGAGGTTTCTTTTTGCATTCAGTTCAGGAACTGTTAAAACTTGGCTGTTTTCCAGAACAAGAAATTGATTAGATTGTAGAAAGAATAATGGAGACAGGCTAGTGGATTCAAGGAAAATTGTATGTGTAAAAAGCATCAAATACAATGCTTAGTGGAGTATTCTGCCCATTGCAATTATTCATTTAAAGACAGTGGCTGGCTGACTGCTTGTGTAAACAGAGCATTTTCTGCCCAGTGCCAGTTCATATGTTTAATGTTAGAGATTTTCTAAAGATAGAGAATGTTTTAGTAATCTTTGTGTCTGTCTCCTTTGCCTAGCCCAGGGCCTGAGACTCAAAAGTTTAATGAATGTCTAGATTAGATTGGAGCAGTTTGGAATAAGATACATAATAAATTTGTTATGATTTCCACCCCCAGCCTCTGGACCTAGATTTGATGATCACAATTATAAAAATATAACCCACTGTGCCACTGTTATACTCGGGGTGATTGATTTTTGGTTCTTAGGGCTAAAGTAGCTCAAAGGGTTGTCTTCATCCAACATACTTACTATTCCTGTAATTACTGAATGTATAAATTTCATGCCTCTTTTGTTTCAAACAGAAAAATGGGCTTGGGGAATAAGAAAAGCGAAGAAATCCTTAGCCAAAATAATATACAGCAGGTGTTCTTTATCTCGGCTTGATTTAGTTAGTCTTGCTCATCCAATACCTCATGCTTGTCTGTCCAAATCACTGAATTTTAAACTTCGTTACACATTAAAAAAAAAAAAAAAAAACTCACAAGAACCTTGTATTCAGAATAAAAAGAGCTACAGATAGAAACTTTTTGAAGTTTGAGTTTGTGTCTCTTTGAAGGTCAGCTGCCTTCAGTTAATTGCTCTGTTTTGTTGCTCCCTATGTTGATTACTTTTATCTGGAGCCCTAAAGACCTGTGGGGACCTCTGGGGGTGACAGCACCACGACTGAGCAGTGCATGTAGGGGCCCAGAAATGTCAGCATCAGAAACTTCCATGTGAGGATAATGAGTTCAGGCATTTCAGAAATCAACCAGCTTCAGAGAATTGCATTTGAGTGTAGTCATGCTTATTTTTGAAATATAAGAGCTTGAGGCTCCCCTACTGAAATAAAGAGTTTTCAAACAAAGGCCTGGAGGAGCTGGATTGGCAGTTGCTTTCATATCTAAGGGAATGGTACTGCTGTTCAACCTGATCCAAAGTGAAATCTAGAGATGAGAGCAAAGAAGAGAGATGCTCAAGGGTAGTTAAATTGACAGAAACTTCTTATTAAGAAAAAATACATGAGAAATTTTCTTGGTAATAGTCATGTTATTTATCATCTATCTTTTTACCTCTCCACATAGCTAAAGACATTTTATTTTATTGTTCACACATTTAGTTGTTTAATTTTAAATACTTTCTTGCTCATACATTTTACTGTAGAATTGTCTTAAGGACTTGCAGCAGCATTTTCTCATGGTTATGCCCTGAATTATGTCCTTCTCAAATCCATATGATGAAGCCCTAACCCTCAATGCAATGATTTGTAGAAATGAGGACTTTGGGGGGTAATGAGGTCATGAGGATGGGCCCCTTATGATGAGATTAGTGCCCTCATAAGATGAGAAAGAGACCCCAGAGCTCTCTGCCATATGAGAACATAGCAAGAATGCAGCCATTGGCAAGTCAGTAAGAAAGCCCTCACCAGAACCCAACCATGCTGGCACTCTGATCTGGGACTTTCAGGCTTCAGAACTGTACGAAAATGAATTTCTGTTGTTTTAAGCTACCAGGCTCTGGTATTTTATTATGGTAGCCCAAGGAGACTAATACACTTGCATAGTGATAATTAGCATATGGATAGGTCATTGAGTGAAGATGTGAGTAAGAAAGATGTCATCTGTGTAAAATTCCCTTTAACCAATAGTGTACATAGAAGTATATGTTTTATGTATATGAAATTCTGTCACTGTGTTTATAATTGGTAATTATAGCTTAAGGTTCTTTTAATGTATTGTGTTCTTTGAACATTTTGTGAAATACAGCCATCGCTGGTGTACAGTAGAACTGAAGCTATGTGTAAATGGTTAGAGGACAGTGGATCTCCCACAAATTGATTATTAGATAACAAATGCCCAAGATTTAGGATTCATTCCTTTGGGTTCAAGGCTTTGTATCCTTGGGAAACCTTTGGTAAAATGTAAATATCCTTAAAAGAGTAATAAATTGAAACTTTACTATTATTTTTCTGAGAATGTAATAATTTTTAAAATTAACAAATTGTCCTTTTAGGGAGGAGAATTAAGATTCTAAGGAAGAGCAGATTAAAATAGGGAGGTTTCACAATGGGGAGGATGGGCCCTGAAGTGTTCACAAGGATGAGGCATCAGAGGGAAGAACACCCCTGAAAGAGCTCAGGTGGTACAGGGAAGCCAGTTGGCACTGAGCTCCTGGAATATGCCAACAGGAGATACCCGGTCCTCTCTGATCTCTGTGGCTCAAAAATCTTTCTTCTCCCTGTCTCTGCCATCTAATCTGAATGTTCTCAAACCATCGCCTTTGTGCTGTTTTAAAACTCACTCCCATTTTCATAATCACTACCAGATTTCATGTGACTATTCCTATCTCCATTTCTCTTTCTGTCACTGAGGCTTCATGCTGAAATTAGTAGTTCTTTTAATTTTTTATTCTCTTTACCCCAGTTAGAAATTTCCTAAAGTAGAATAACAGCAAAGAGCCTGAAACCTGAGTCAAAACAACAAATGTAATAGATACTCAGTGATAAGATTTATGATTAGCCTTTGCTGTGGGCAAAAAAATTTTTTTAAACATATCAATCATGTCTTTAAATTATTACTCTGGCTGGGCACGGTGGCTCACGCCTGTAATCCCAGCACTTTGGGAGGCCAAGGTGGGCGGATTATGAGGTCAAGAGATCGAGACCATGGTGAAACCCCATCTCTACTAAAAAAAAAAAAAAGAAAAAAAATGAGCTGGGTGTGGTGATGTGCACCTCTGGTCCCAGCTACTTGGGAGCCTGAGGCAGGAGAATTGCTTGAAACTGGGAGGCGGAGGTTGCAGTGAGCTGAGATTGTGCCACTGCACTCCAGCCTGGTGCCTGGCAACAGACCAAGACTCTCAAAAAAAAAAAAAAAAAGATTACTCAAAGGTCATAGAAATCTCTTTGCTAGACAGAATCCTTTAATTAATGTTATTCAGAGATAATTTTGCTTTATTTCTATCTCTTTACTCCTGTAGTTCCTGATACCTGCATGCACTTTGACATGCCTAGAGAGTTTTTGAAGAAGTTCTGCCTTGTATCAATTTTTAGCCTATAGTTAAGTATACTGATGCCCATGTTCTCCTCCAAAAAAATTAGTTTGGAGAATAAAGGTAGGGTTCTTACATAATTTTCCCCATTAAAAGTGGAGCTGCAATCAGGTTAAATACTAAAAATGAAAAGCTGTCTTAACTGCTGCTTAATTAATGAATAGAGAAAAATGCAGAAGGGGCTATATCTAAAGTGACTTTTTTTTCCTCTGGGTTGATCAGTGCTGCCTACCTCATTGTTTTTTGAAGGAGAGTGTCTTTTGTGATTAAATCACTTGTCAGATTTATATTGATATGCAAAGTTTCGTTTTATTTAATATATCTCTAGAAGTTTCACCATCTGTTACTAACATTCTTCCAGCAGGAAGTGCAAGAGAATAGCATTTGTAAGGTAAAAATGTATCAGCCATCGCTAGAGCTTCAAATAATGTTTTATAATTAAGATAGAGAACTCAGAGTAAATGTTGAAGGAATGTAGTTGATAAGAGTAAAATGAAGGCTAACACTGGAGAGTAGGCAAGATGAGAAAAGCTGAAAGACGGGAAACATATTTACATTTTTTCCGGAAAATTTTCAGAAAAGTCCATCTTAATTTTATTTACTTTTAGAGGATGATTAAAATTTAGTGTTTCTCAGAATTCATTGTTTCACCTGTTTAGTTAATACTTATTAAACCCAACAATGAATAAATAAGCATGGTTACAGTGTGTGTGTGTCCTAATGTATGCACTTCCTGACACGTATAATCTTTTATAAACAATACAGAAAATAGATAAAGTTTATCTTTAAATATATAAAGTTTAAATGCTGAATTAAAAACACATTGAAAATGGGTGAGACTAGTTAAATATTTGACATCCTAAAAAAATATTAGATAGGTGGCACAATAGAGAAATATTTAGACATTTAGGTAAATATCTACATAATGGAACATAGTCACTTAAAACAGGAAGGAGGTTGTCAGTGGATCATAGTACATGGGATTGTTAAATCGAAGAGAAAATCAGGGAAAAAAGACTTGTTAGAATGGAAAGCTGATTGTCATAGTTTTTAGAATCCTGAAATTATGACTTCTGATTTAAAATTAGACATATAGTATAAATAGACAATTTTAATTGGTTCATTGACCTTCAAGTAAAGCATGCTTATTTCATGCAGAGTGTCTAGTTTATGGCAATACACAGGTAAGAAGTTCAAAGTGATTATTTGATGAAAAGATGGTTCAAAGGATGATTTTGCCTGTAACAATTCAGAAGAAAAATAAGAAGTAATCCTTTTTGTACTCTGTGTTTCTTTGTGGTGATTTTGATAGCAACAGAAAACTTCAAAAGGGAGCATGAGAGATGCTAAACATACTCTTTAAATAATCCTTCTTGGAACTTCAGTGGTGATGGTTAAATGATGGCTCTGTCAAACCTTTGCATTAGAAATATATTTTCTATTTATAGTAGAAGTGAGATTTCTCTTTATTACTCTTAAAAATATTCTTTTCATGCTTATGTGTCCCTGTGTATATTTGAACACATTCATACCAACTGTAACTCTATATTTATTTCCATTTATATATCATTTTATTGAACCCATTTTTACTGTTCAATGATTTTAAAAAAAAATCATTGAACTTTGGTATTTTCCTTTTTATCATAAGTATAATGCAGGACATTAGAAACTATTTTGAAACATGGAAAGGGTCTTTCAAATTTTTGATTTTGTACTAATAAATTAGTTATATTATTAGCTAATATAACAAATTCTAACATAACTGTCTCTAAGTATGTGTTATATGTGGTAGAATGTATTATTTCTATTATTCACTCCTCTGCCTTGTAAGTATATTGTACATCCTTGCCTTTTACTATTTGGGGGGGTAATATTTCAGTTCTCCCTGTGGGAAGAGAGTACTCCTGGATCCCATTGATATCAGGCTTATCAATGTGATTTTCTTTGGCCGGTAGAATACAGATGCTCCCCAACTTGTGATGGAGTTAGATCCCAATAAAATCATCATAAGCTGAAACTATCATAAATTGAAATACTTTCAATACAACTAACCTGCCAAACATTGAGCTTAGCACTTAATATTTAAATGTTCAGAACATTTACGTTTGTTGGGCAAAAATCATCTGGCAACATAGTACCTTGTCGAGTACCAGTTGTTAACCTCATAATGGTGCAGCTGTCTGGGAGCTATGGCTCACTGCCCCTGTCGAGCATCTTGAGAGAGTGTGGTTATAGAATATTGCTAGCCAGGGGAAAGATCAAAATTTTAGCTTATTTTCCTACTCTTGTTCTTATAGTAGATCCCTTTCTCACATAGACACATACAAACTGCTGGTGGCAGTCATTCTTTTAGCTCTTGGCTTTGAGATAAACCAAATAGAAATTCTTTAATTTTTTTGTAATCAGGAAATAATGCCATTAGTATTTTTGAATAGATTCATTACATACATTTTTATCCATTATTATTTGACTAGTTCCATCTAATTGTGAGTATTTGTGTTTTCAAAATTGAAAGCATTGCTCTGATTTTATTTTTTAAAGAAGGAAATTTAGTTAACCTTTGTTTTAGTTTTCTTGGGTTTTCTTTTCTTCCAAAGTGACTTTAACACAAAAAAACGTAGGGGAGTTCGCCTGTAAACCTTGTGATTTGGGAGCTATTGATGACAGATGTAAAGGGAGCTATAAATTTTAGCTCTTTAGTAGTGAACTATCAATATAGTTGTAGCATCAATGACTTATAAATTATTGTTCTCCAATTGTATAGAATATGAGATGAGCAGTAATCTAGTTATATGAATCACAAGGCCAAGATTCTCATAATACCTTTATTGTACTAACTATACATTATTGACAAATATGCTTGCAGAGGATAAGATATTTTTTTCTTGAGCTTCCTAAAAGTATAGAATTTAAGTTATACATAAATTCTGTAAGTGTATCTGTTAACATTCAATTGGCCAATAAAAGGTATTGCCTTCAAAATGAAATTGCCTTTTAAGTAATCTTAAAAGCCCCAAGAATATACTACATACACAAATACCTCTCAATAGGAGGTAATATTTTCTATGAAATGTATTACTCTAGTCGTAGCATATTCACATAACTGAAATATTTTTTAAATCTTAGGATAAATGAAAAATTTGCTATTTATAAGTTAAAGTTAGATTTTTCATTCTCATCTTTTCCTCTTTTTTCCAGTTCAGTTTCTTGGCTTTATATATTCTATAAAATGGAACATAATGCTGCCCCACAGTTGATTGTTCATTCTGACCATTCTAACCATTGATGTTGATCTCTACTTAATTAGTTCAGAATGAGGCAAAGTGTTTATTGTAACAACAGCAAAACTAAACAATGACGCATGTGGCAGGTTGGCTAATGAATTCCTGATATTAATGTTTTAGGTTAAACATATCAGTTTAAGTCCAGAGTAGATCAAGATTTAAAAGTATAATTCATAATTTTTTGTGGGTATGATTATGAGGATGGTCTCTCATAACTTGAACACTTCCTATTCTAAGTTTAGAACTAACCCCATTACACTTTACCCCTGACAAAAGATACAGATTTTAAATTTTTATTTGCATGAGAGTTTACTCCTAAGAAACATATTTGATTTTTTTTTTTTTTTGAGACAGTGTCTCACTCTGTCACCCAAGTACCCAGGACAGAGTTGGTAGCACAATCCCAGTTCACTACAACTTCTGCCACCCATGCTCAAGTGATCCTTCCACTTTCGCCACCTGAATGACTGTGACTGCAGGTACACGCCACCACGTCTGGCTATTTTTGTATTTTTTTTTGTAGAAATGGATTTTGCCATGTTACCTAGGCTGGCCTTGAACTCCTGAGCTCAAGCAATCTGCCTGCCTCAGCCTCCCAAAATGCTGAGATCGCAGTCATAAGCCACCACACCTAGCCCATACTAGATTTTTATTTAACAAAAAAATCAATATTTGTACTAAACTTTTCAGTCTCAAACTTTGCTCTGAAATATTTTCTAAAAACTGTCTCTATCTGAATTCCTAACATTTTTGCATTTAGGTTTTCTGTGTGGCCAAAGATATCGGACAGCATTCAAGTCAGACGAGTCAGACTCAAAACATACTTCTGTAAAGCTCTAATTTCTCTAATAATGCAGATCGCTGAGCCAAAAGCTTCAAAGTGACATTGGAATCCTCAGAATTTTGATGAGCACTCTCACTTTTATCACAGAATTTTTGTTTGGGCCTACAGAATTTCAAATCTACATTTTGCATCAATCAAAACAACAAATCAACTATTCATTTTCAGTGAAAAAGAAAAAAACAATAAAGAAGAAAAAGTCAACCAGGTGCTTATCTGTTTGGGTTATGTATAGACCAAAATGATTGATCCAATAATTTTGGAAAGACATGATCAGAAAGTAGAGAGAAGTGATTTGAAAGTTCTGTAACAATGATATTGGCTTCCAGCAGACCTATTATCTGTTTGGGGTTATGTATAGACCAAAATGATTGATCCAATAATTTCGGAAAGACATGATCAGAAAGTAGAAAGAAGTGATTTGGAAGTTCTGTAAAAGTGATATCGGCTTCCAGCAGACCTACTCCAGCTAATGCTCTAGGTTCTGAATATTTCTCATCTACAATGCTGAAGTCTAAGTTATCTGTCCAGATTGATGGTAGACTGCAGATTTCAAACTGGTACATGGTTAGTTTTGATTCTCCCTGTCCCCCTCTGCTAGTCCAAGGAATTTGATTAGATTTCCAAAAACTTTAGTCTGGAAACAGTAACCATCTCCCTGCAGTGTTTAGGGATTAAGAGGATACCTTGTGACTAATCTAGACCTACTATATTTCTGCAAGTGTATGGGAGAAAAACAGAACCAGCCCAGACCCAAATGGATATGGATGATGACTTTAAATCAAAGAGAATAAAAATGATAAAACCACTCTAATTGTTAGTTGAGATTTTTTCATACTCTGCTTCTTTCCAGGAGAACTTTGAAAGTTTGTTTTCTTGTTTAACCTACAAAAAAGAATTAATACAAAAGCAATTGAAAGGAAGAAAGAAATTAAAGAGAAAGGCAGAAGCAAATATGCTTACTGTGAAAAGAGTTCAGGTGACTGCTATAGTTAGGCATCAGTTTGGTTATGAGCTTCCTGGCAGCCTAGTGGGAAATGGAGTTATTATGAATAACAGAGTTTTTATATCAGAAAGGAGAATGTATACCATCTCTTACAAGGAGATAGGGTTAATGCTGAGTGGTATACTAGCAGTGTCTTTTTAACATTTTTTAACAGAAGCAGAAATCGCATAGTTGTTTTGTGATGGTTATCAAAATAAAATAGGACTTTAAAGATTGACACACATCTTAATCGAGCAGATTCTTCAAATGGTGAAGTTGTGTGAATATCCGCAGAGGTTAAATGCTGCCCAAACATAGAGGAGGCTCAAGTGTCTCAGGACTGACTGGATTTGAATCCCTTAAACTGGTATTTGAATACTCATAAGACTAATAAAGTTCTTGTTAAAAATACAGATTGTTGAGCTCTATTCCTTTAAGTTCTGATTTAGTCAGTTTGAGATGAGATCCAGAAATCTATATTTTTAACAGGTACCTAATAAGATTCTAATGCAACTAGTCTGAGTAGCATTTTGAAAATCAGTAGCCTGGACTCTTTTTTTTCATATTTCTTTTATGTTAGTCAAATTTTTCTTAGGAATCAGAATAATTTAATAATATACTATCTGAAGACAACCTACAGGCAGGTATTTTATAATACTGATTAAGAGGAGAACTATACAGGATCACACAAATGGTAGGACTTTTATTCTATTTATGCAAATAATAGAGCCAGACTAGTATGCTAGGCTACACATAGCCCCCTGCATAGGTTTCCCCTAGTCAAGACCAGATTCTCCCCAAGAAAGAGTTTTGAGTTTGCTCCAGTACTTGGTTGACTGATGAATTCAAGCATCGAGTTAGAACAAATCAGACATAGTTTTGTGTTTGAAAATCCTTAGAGAAAGTATTACCTATGGCACACAAATAGTTATCCAAAAAGCCTTAATGATGACCCTTTGCAGGTCTCCAGATATGTCTGCCAGGATAAGTGAGCTGCTAGATGTTCCCCAGATAGTTGAACACATTGACCTGTTATATGATGCTATTTAATATCGATCAGATAAATGTCAGAGAATGTCTGACAGAGGCAGTGGTTTTTGTTTCATCAAGGTTAATGATAAGTCATTCATCCAAACAGCTGGAGGCTCCCAGGACTCCCTGCTTAAGACCATTGCTGTTTAATGAACATCAAGCCATCTCAGCAGCATTTAGGAGGCCTAAACTACTGAGTTTTTATTTCTTATTAATTAAAGACCACTGATTTCAGCCTCTGTTGGTTAACTGGTAACAATTCAAAGCATATCTTGATGTAAATGTTCATTAAAATATAACTATTGGTTTTGTAACACAAAGATAAGGTGGATATTCTCCCTTTTCCAAATCAATTTCCCTTATGTGGCAGATTGTTTTCACATGTCAGATCTTGCTAGCTGCTCAAGATGCTTATATAATTTTTGATATTTTATAAGAAAATAGCCTGATTTTCCTTTTTCATGAATTTGTATAAGATAAAACAGTGTCACTTCCATTATACATCACCAGGCTAAGGAAGGCTGCTTTTGTCTTCCCTTAATTCCTAGGTAGCATGTTCAAGGAGATTGGTTTACTTTCTAGAAATTAACATTGCTTTCCTACTTATCTCTGCAGTGGCATTATTCTGCCCTTAACTAAGTATACTTACAACCTTTGGTAATCCATATATGCCTTTGGCTAAGGATTTTTTAAAAGTTTGACACAAAATGGACCCCTTGTCTTAAAAAAAATAACCTAAGACTTTTAAACTACCTTTCCCCTTCAAGCTCACTTTAACAGGCCAGACTTGATGATGAGTATCTTTAGTAATTTTGATATATTCTTTTACTGAAGTTTTATAAACTTGATGGTTTTAGAAGAAAGTACATTTATGAATGGTTGCTATAGTAGATGAGCAGTTTGAACATTATAAGAAGTATGTGGAAAAAGCAAATTGAGGCTTTCCACATTTTCAAAACTTTTAGTTAAGCTTGTTTTACTGTAGGCATACAGTTTTCTATTGTTGGGTCTGTCTCATTATTTTTTGAGCATTGAGTAGATTGATTCGTAGTATTCCCATATTAAGTATAATTTGTAAGCAGATTTACGTAGATAGGTGTCCATATATAAATTAAGATATAGATTGACAAATACCTGTCTCATTTTAAGTTTAACAAGTAGCGTATCTAGTTGAAGTGTTGTGGGACTGATTATAGTGATCAAATAAAGGTGAGATATGTTTAGCAAGGAATCTTGAAAAAGTTGAATTTTGGCAGAGTTTGAAAAGAAAGAGAAGGGACAGATCTGGATTGGAAGAATACAAATGTCATTCACATTGAATAAAGTGACAGATGGCTAAGAGTATAAGGGATATTAAACATTCTCTGCTAGGATAGTGAAGAATAGCTCTCTTTCTTTGTTGGGCCTGCTTCTGCCCAGAATGATTTCTAGCATAGAATCAGAGATATTTGGAAGATCTTTGAATTTATCCTACATGTCAGCCTTATGAAATGAAGTCCTGAGAAGTGAGATGACTTCTCCAGGGCCAACAATTGACAGTGGTGGAGGTAGAGCCAAAATGCACAAATTTCCCATAGAACTTCTTACATATTACACTACACTGCACTGTTATATCACCCCATAGGTGTTAGATCTCTTTATCCTGAACATTTTAGTCATACAGAAAAGATAGAAGTGTCTAACATGTAGGACTTTAGGTTGTGTAACTTTGATGATCCAGTCATTGTTTTTTTCTATTAGCAGCAATTTCTTCTTGGTCCGAAAGCTTAGCAATCATTTAAGTAAAATTTTCCCTGAGTACTTTGTTTTCCCTCAATTCTTCACAGCCCTAGCTCTGTCTTTTTAGCACATATTTTTAAATTGACTGAACATTTTTGAACTATTCTTATCTTGGTATGCTTTCTTAAATTGTGATAGAACTAGCCTTAAAATGTGTATTGTAACTGTCCTTTCATGAGTTTAATTGTTAACATGGGTTTGAGAATATGACATATCTAGAAGGAAAAGCAGTTCTAGATGCCTCATTTTCTTTTCTGTTTATTCAACAGCAAATATTTATTTTTATACTTGTTGTTTATATATTCTAGGCACTAGGAATACAACACTGCATGTGGACAGTCACTGAATTCCAGAATATTATAGTCTAGTAGGAGGCAGAGATGAGTAAACAAGCAGCTATCAGACTCAAGCAAGCTATTTATTTCAAGATGGTGATACTTGATTTGAGGTCTGATTATTTAATGAAAACCCCTATGTATGTGTTTATTTTCAGAGCATATTAGTTACATATGCTTTTTTATTTTTCTTTAAAAAAATTTTTTTTCTTGCTCTGCAATTAATGTTATATATGTTTTAAAAGTGTTATTAATCTTGGATTATAATTAATAAGTATACTCACATATCAATTACCTGTTAGTGTTTTTTCATCTGGCTAGATTGACTATTTTCATGGGATTTGAGATTAATATGGAGTTATTCAGTCATGTTTTAAGCACATATTTCAAGCTACATTATTATTAAGATGGAGAGGCAAAAAAGCACAGTTTTATTTTTTTTGCCAGAGTGAGACTTACTTAATGGGGAATACTTTAGAAGACCAGAATTTTATATTAATAAATATTACGTATTTTCTCCTGTGGATTTTCCAAAATTATTCAGAGTGTCTGTTCACTGTTACTATTCCACAGGATTCATTCCAGAGGGATTAAGTAAGGCATAGTGGATGTAATATTCAAATGTATTCCTTATGTGAGTTTTACACTGATTATAGTCAGAAAAAAATTTAAGTATGTTAACTGGAAAAGTAGGCAGTGTTATTTCTTTCTACAATTTATGATAGTATTATATACATGTAGAATATTAGAATGCCTATATTTAAAATATATAT